CCGAACCTATGTCAAACGATCGTGCCCATCGGAACTAGCGATCGATCCTCGCGATTAAGTGACAACCGAGGTGGTCACAACCCGAGTGAACTTGAACGTGGCTTGATTTAGTTTCAACCACAGGTCAATAATGCGAATTTCCCCAAAAGCCACCCATTAGTATGAGATATGTGCAAGTTACGTTATTTAGAACTTAGTCATTAATTAGAGACCAAGTTGGGCATTGGAAATTTAGAAAGTCACGACAGATCATTTGGACGATGTTGTGATTTGCTCGGGTAGCCTCGGATTTGTCCGAATCCTTCAGAAAAATCGAATTTCTGCGAGAAATGGAAAATGACCGTTTTACCCTTGGAAGTTTGTTAAGGCCAAATGTAATTGGGGAAGGGCATTTTGGTCATTTCACCCTAGCATTAGAAATAGAAATTTTTGGACAATTTTGCCCTTGGACTTTTTGTGAAATCCCCAAATTATCCTTGGATATTTTGGAAAAGATTCGATCTCGACCGTTGATCTCAGGATAAGATTGAATCTTGGCCGTTGATTTGGAATGTGAGAAAGGGGCATGATGGTCATTTTGCCTTGGTCTAGACACCAATTATTGGGTTCACCATATTTAATCTCATTTTCCTCTCTCTCTCTCTCCCCCTCCCGACCGAGACCACCCTCCTCACCGCGATCGTGGCCGTCCGCCTAGCCAGCTGCCACTGCCGCGCCTCCCCGTCCATTCGGAACAATAGCCAGCGGAACCAGGTCGCGCCGCCGTGGCCGCCGCTCGCCTCGCTCAGCCGCTCACCCCACCGTCTCTCTCACTCCCCTGTTCTGCCTCACCGAATCACCATCACCCTTAATCTGTCCTGTTCAGCTCAGCCAAGTCCAGCCAGCAAACTGCCGCTCGCCGTCCGCCGAGCCACTCGCCATCGCCGCATGTCGCCGTGAGGCGGCCGATCAGCCACCCTTTTCACTCTAGCTGAGCTAGCTTAGAGTCCAAGTAAGTCGCCCTTAAACCCTATTTAGGATGTCGGGTATCGATAGACACGATTAGGGGCTAAATCGGGTTAATTAGTGATGGTTTAGAGGTTATATTGGTAGATGGATTTGGGGACTTGAATCGGCTGAATTGTGGGTGAATTTGTGATGTTTCGGGACTGATTTGACGTGGAGTTGAGTGCTGAAAATTGTAGCTCGTATTGATGAGCATATGACTTGATTTGGGGACTAAATGGTGTCGGGTTGGACGAGCCGTGTTGTGGCTGAATTGGGGTGGTAATTAGGGCTGGAAATGGACTTGAATATGTTGAATTTTATGACATGATTGTGACTGTGTTTGTGGGCCCGATAGTGGCCTTGTATGTTCGTTGGATCGTGACTTGATTGATTGAAATGTGGGCCGTTATGTGCACACATGGGCTGAATTGAATTGGTTGTCAATTGGCTGTGTTTGGGTGTTCATTAAGCATGAGAAATGTGTGTGGTTTGGTGCGTGCACGGGCCAAGTGTGATTGGCTAATATATTGGCATGTTGGTGTCGAGCAAGTGAACGAGTGAAAAATTATGTGGTGGTGCTGTATGTGTGGTGACAAAAATCTCTGAGGCAGTACCGTTACGCGGGGAATTGATCCGTCCTGAGGTAGTACCATTACGTGGGACAATGCCCGGTATTACCGGAGGATGGCCAACCTGAGGCGGTACCATTACGTGGGTTGTGTCGTAGGTGGTGGGCGTTGAGCCTGAGGCGGTACCATTACGTGAGCAAGATACACGGCCTGAGGCGGTACCATTACGCGGGCCACGAAGTGTTGTTAATATGAGTTAGTTGCAATGAACCTGAGGCGGTACTATTACACGGGTCACTAGCGAGTCGAGTGGAAAATATGAGATGGCTGTAGTGAACCTGAGGCGGTACCATTATGCAGGTCACTGGCGAGTCGGATGTAAATAGTGTGATGAGGCAGGATCGAGTGTGTGAAATGTAATTGGCTTGTGCGTGTGGTTGAAAATTGTGCTATTGTGGCTAATGTGCAGGTTGCACGTAGGAAAGGCCCAGGTAAGTATAAATTGTGTGCATGTTATGTGATGGCTGGGTGTGGTTGTGTTTGTAATTGTCTAGAGGTACGTGATAGCCCAGGTAGGGTTTAGGGTGTGTGCTTATTGAGATGTGATCTCATGGTTGTTTCAACCAACAATTTTAGAACCCCGGCTTGAGCCATGAATCTTCCGCCACCGTCGCCGCAGTGTTTTGGGATTCCAATGCACACCGACCACGATGTTGTAGAATACCCGATAGACGAAAATATGACCTGGGTTAAGCATACCACGGTAGTTTGGGTAGATATAGGACTACCCCTCTGGCAGGCCCACACATACACTGCCTGGATGTTCAGATATAGGGTAGATGAATTTGGCCCTGTCCGTGGCTTCGATGTCCCCTTTGATGGAGTTGGGGATTGGGATCCATCAGCCATACCCCCTCCTGATGGCGAGATGACTAGTTTGGAGACTAGTCTAGCGCAGTCCGGACTTTAGCCTGCGCCTGCAGCACCTGAGCCCTCAGGAGCCGAGCATGATCCGGAGCCGAAAGAATCCCAAGCGGGGTATGATCCGATGGATGTGGATCTCGAGGTGATACCAGAGGAAGAACCAGAAGAAGAAGACCTTGAAGCAGAACCTGAAGAGGCCCCAAAAGTAGAGCCTCAAGATGAGCCTGAAGAAGAACCAGAGGACGAACCCGAGTACGAGCCAGAGTATGAGCCAGTGTACGATCTCGAGTTTGTGCCAGAGGACGAGTCAGATGAGGAGCCAGATGAAGAGGAGCGAGTCGAGGTTCCAACGGAGTCGGGTGATATAGACAACCCGATTGAGATCGAGGCCGAGTCGGAGTCCTCAGAGGAGCAGACAGTTCAGGGGGATTCAGATTCAGGTCCGGAGGAGTCAGACTCTGAGTGGACGCCATCCAGAGGGCGCAGAGGCTAGGGTAGGGGCTAAGTGTAGACTTTTTGAAGTGTACCATTTTTGGAGATAGGGTATACCCAGGCTGCTGATCTTTTGATGTCGGTGGTGCATAGTTTAGATATTTGGTGTGTTTGTATATTATGCGTTGTATATGTGGATATTGTATAAGTTTGGATAAGTAATGGATGTCGATACTCCCTCTTTACCCCTAGTTAATTCTTGTCCGGGTGTTGGTGGCTTTCACTGATGTTTAAATCTCTGATAAGTTGAATTGGATCGGCGATATCCTGGGACGTCGCATTATTCGACCAGAGAAGTGTGTTGCGTGCTCGATAGGGTTTGGGGCGTGACACCCCTCGATTTACCACAAATTTGAATTCCGGATGTCCAATAGGATTAAATTGGATCACCCTGCTACTACAATCCATTACGGCCATCTGCTTAGCCAGCCAATCCATACCTACTATCACATCAAAATCATACATGGCTAGAACCGCTAAATCAATCCTTTCCTCCCTATCACCGATCACAATCTTACAATTCGGGCACCCCAACGAGACTAGCATCTTATCATTCAAGGGAGTTGTAACACACAACACAACATCAAGCAACTGCGGTTCTATACCAGTCAACTCAACAAATTGCTCAGATATAAATGAATGTGACGCCCCAGGGTCAAATAAAGCGTACGCAGCATGATTTCACAGAGAAACCGTACCTGTGACTACCCTGGCGCGTTCTCAATCTCTCTTCTGGCCATGGCGTACACCCGTCCTTGGGCCTGTGGCCTATTCTGATTAACTATTTGGGCAGCTCCAATTTGGTTCCCGTTCCGGGGTGGCGGCAACGCAGGCGATCTATTCTGCTTGAGGTTGGGGTAAAATCTTATATGATGACCAAATCCGCCACATCCGAAACATGCTCCGCCTCTGGTTGGGCAAGGTCCATTTCCATGTCTTTCTCCGCACACCCGACGTGGACCATTCTGAAAACGGCTCGGTTTCCCGATATTCCTTCTAACAGGAGGGACGAAACGTCGATTACCCATCATTGGCCTCTTCCCTAATTGACGGTTGTCCCTACCCTGGGCAAATCTTGACCCAGAAACGGCAGCCCTATCCGCCAAGTCCCGCTTAATCGCTTGAGCCCTATTATAAATCTCGTTATACTCTCTCAAATTCAATGAAATCATTTGGCTGCGAAGGTCCGGCTTCAAGCCGTCTCGGAACCTCCGAGCCCTATCCAACAGGTCCTCAACCATCTTTAGGGCAAACTTAGATAACCGAGCAAATTCAGCCTTATACTAATCTACTGTCCTCTGTCCCTGACGAAGCCTCATAAACTCAGATAATTTCTGTTCCTGAGCACTATCAGAAAAATATTTACCATTAAAGGTTTCCACAAACATTGCCCAAGTCTGGGCGGTACCAGCCAGGAACACCCTTCCTCTAGTGGCTTTCCACCAATTATTTGCATTTCCTTGTAATTGATATACTGCTAATGTCACTTTCTCTTCATCAGTGCATCCTAATACCTCAAAGGCTTTTTCCAACTTCTATACCCAAAGCGATGCAAGCTCAAGATCGCCTCTACCATCAAACTTAGCGGGCTTTAATGTCAAAAACTGTTCCACTAATTGGTGCATCTGCCTATTCACATTCACCTGCCCCTACCCTTGATTCCCATTATTATTATTGGCAGCAGCGGCCACAGCGACCTCGGTAGCTTGGGTAATAGTGGCAGCTCTTTCCCGAGTCTGCCGTCCTATCAAATTACCAATCTCTTCTAGGGTCCTCATGACCGCATCCATTCTCGGATCTCCTGCCGGTCGGGCTCGTGAGCTGGATGGACGCCCAGTTCCTCTACCTCGCGAACTCATCCTCACGATTTCTACCACTCACCTTCCTGCTATAATTCCACTCATGAATTAGAAACCTAGGCCAACTATATCAGTCTAGTCCTAGGTAGTGAATTAACGTAATAATTCACTCAGCAGGTAATCAATCATAATAGCACAATACCACCATCATTAAGGTAAGTGCACTTACCTCGAGTCCAGACGCACCTGCATTTCAATTGTTATAACAATCAACCCACTCAGCAATCACAACAAACAATCTGGAGGCACGCGTAGCTCATTCCACCCTATGACTTGCTAAGGTCTCCCTAAATTACTATCCCAGGGTCTCTGCTCCTTATCACTCCAGACTTCGACCAACTTAGATCGAGTTGTCCTCGCTCTGATACCAAATCAAACTGTGATGTCACGCCCCAAACCCCATCGAGCACGCGACACACCTCTTTGGTCGAATATCACGATGTCCGAGAAAATCGCCGACCCAATTCATCTTATCAGAGATTTAAATCAATCAGCGAAAGCCACAAACACCCAGACAATAATTGACTAGGGGTACAAGGGAGAATAGACATTCATTACTTATCCAACTTTATACAATATCCACCAGTAAACAACCCATATCATATACATGCACACCGTACTATCAAGACTACACACCACCGATGTCAAAAAGATCGATAGCCTGGGTACCCTATCTGCCAAAAATGGGACACCTCAAAAGACCTGCACTCAACCCCTACACTAGTCCTTACGTGCCCTAGATGGCGTCTACTCAGAGTCTGACTCTTCAGGACCCGAGTCGGAATCCCCCTGAACTGCCTGATCATCTGAGGACTCTGAGTCAGCCTTGATCTCAATCGGGTTGTCTATATCGCCCGACTCCATCGGAACTTCGACTCACTCCTCCTCATCATGCTCCTCCTCCGGCTCGTCCTCTGGCTCGCCTTCGGGTGCGTCCTCTGGTCCCATCTCTAGGTCTTCTTCGGGCTCCTCTTCGGGTTCTTCTTCCGACGCCTCTTCAGGTTCGTCCTCAGGGTCTTCGTCTTCTGGTTCCTCCTCTGGTATTACCTCAACATCCACATCCATAGGGTCGTACCCTGCCTATGACTCCTCCGGCTCCGGATCAGGTTCGGCCACGGGAGGTTCAGGTGCTGCAGGTGCGGCCTGATGTCCAGACTGCGCTAGACTAGTTTCCAAATTAGTCATCTCACCGTCAGGAGTGGGTATGGCTGATGGATCCCAATCCCCAACTCCGTCAAAGGGGACATCAAAGCCACGGACGGGGCCAAACTCATCTAATCCGTCCCTAAACATCCAAGCTGTGTAGGTATGGGCCTGCCAAAGAGGTAGTCCTACGTCTACCCATACAACAGCAGTATGCATCACCCAGGTCATGTTATCATCTATCGGGTATTCTACAACATCATGGTCGGTGTGCATCGGGATCCCAAAATGCTGCGGCGGCGGTGGTGGAAGGTTCATGGCTCAGGCCGGGGTTTTGAAATTGTTGGTTGAAACAACCATGAGATCACGTCTCAATAAGCACACACCCTAAACCCCACCCAGGCTATCACGTACCTCCAGACAAGTTCAAACACAAACACACTCAATCACCACATAACAGGCACGCAATTTATACTTACCTGGGTTTTTCCTACGTGCAACCTGCACGTTAGCCATAGTAGCACAATTTCCGACCACATGCACATTTCAAATACATTTCATGCACTCGGACCTGCCTTATCACACTATTTTCACTCAATTCGCCAGTGACCCACGTAATGGTACCGCCTCAGGTTCACTACGACCAACTTATATTCACAACACTTCTTGGCCCCCGTAATGGTACCGCCTCAGGCGATGTATCTTGCCCGCGTAATGGTACCGCCTCAGGCTCAACATCTACCACCTACGATACAACCCGCGTAATGGTACCGCCTCAGGTTGGCCATCCTCCGGTAATACCGGGCATCGTCCCGCGTAATGGTACCGCCTCAGGACAAATCAATTCCCCGCGTAATGGTACCGCCTCAGGGATTTTTGTAGCCACCCATACAGCATCACACGCAATTTTTCACTCGTTCACTCGCTCGATTTACATGCCAACATGCCAATATACTAGCCGATCAAGTTCAGCCCGTGCACGCACCAAACCACACGCATTTCACATGCTCATTCCACACCCAATCGTGGCCAATTACCAATCAAATCAATTCAGCCCATGCGTGCACATAAAGATCCACATTTCAATCAATCAACTCACAATTAAACAAACATACGAGGCCACCATCAGACCCAAAATCACAGCCACAATCATGAGTACAATTTCAACATTTCCAAGCTCATTTCAAGTCATAACTAGCATCACAATCCAGCCACCATACAATACACCGAACCGACACCATTTGTCCTAAATCGAGCCAAATGCTCGTCGATCCAATCCACAATGTCCAGCACTCAACTCAGCCTCAAATCAGTCCCGAAACATCACAATTTCATCCTCAAATCAGCCAATATCAATCCCCAAATCAGCCCGCCAAGTTAACCCCTAAACAGCCCCTAAATAACCCATAAACCGCCACTAATCGACCCTATTCAGCCCCTAATCCAGTCTATCGATATCCAACATTCTAAAGAGGGTTTAGGGGGCGACTTACTTGGAATCTAAGCTAGCTCAGCTGAGGGAAAAAGGGGCGGCAGTCGGCGGCAAACGGCGACGGCAAGCAGCTCGGCGGACGGCGACGGCGATGGCTGGCGGTCTGCTGGCCTTCCACGGCTGAACAGGACCGAAGGAATTGGTGGGGGAGGTGATTCGGTGGGGGAAACAGAACAGGGGAGAGAGAGACGGTGAGGTGAGCGACGGGGTGAGGCGAGCGGCCACGACGGCGGTGAGCTGCTCTGGCGCGGCTGATCCGGCTGGACGGAAGAGCGTCGGTGGCTGCTGGTTAGGCCGGATGGCCAAGGTCACGGCGGAAAGGAGCTGGTTCGGTCGGGAGGGGGAGAGAGAGAGGGTGAGGCCGAGAGGTGAGAGAGTGAGGAGAGAGAAAGAGAAAATGAAGATTAAATATGGTGAACACCAATAATTGGTGTCTAATCCCATGCCCAATTGACCATCATGCCCCTCTCTCACATTTCCAATCAACAGCCAAGATTCATTCTTATCTTGAGATCAACGGCCGACATCAAATCTTTTTCCAAAATATCCAAGGGTAAAATGGGAATTTCATAAAAAGTCCAAGGGCAAAATTGTCCAAAAATTGTCATTTCTAAAGTGATGGTGAAATGACCAAAATGCCCTTACCCATTTACACTTGACCTTAACAAACTTCCAAGGGTAAAACGGTCATTTTCCATTTCTCGCCGAAATTTGATTTTTCTAGAGGATTCGGACAAATTCGAAGCTAACCGAGCTAATGACAATATCGTCCAATTATCCTGTCATGACCTTCATAATTTTCGATGCCCAAACTTGGTTTCTAATTAATGATCAAATTTAATTTACGTAACTTAAGCGTATCTTGAACTAACAGGTGGCTTTTGGGGAAATTCGCACATTTGACCCGTGGCCAATACTAAATCAAGCCACGTTCAAGTTTACTCGGGTCGTGACGATCTCGGTTGTCACTTAATTGCGAGAATCGATCACTAGTTCCGACGGGCGCGATCGTTTGGTATATAGGTTTGGGGTCATTCGTCAATTCATTTCGTGGTCAAACAGAATCACCCGCGATCCACTCGTATGACAATGGCGAACTGATCCCTAGCTATCCTTGGATCGGTCTACATTGGCTCAAAATGTCACCTCGACAATTTTCGTGATCGAAAGTTGGTTCACGATCGAGTTCTTTGGTTGTGCGAATTTAAATCCCTAATTAGCCTTTTCCCTAACGGTTAGTATTCCCAGAGTGATCAATTTCGGGCGAGATCTAACTACAAACACGTCCATAAACCATTCATTTCGTAAATCCAAAGTGGGTCGGATTTGAGAATGTCACATTTCCTCCCTATCACCAATCACAATCTTACAATTCGGGCACCCCAACGAAACTAACACCTTATCATTCAAGGGAGTTATAACACACAACACAACATCAAGCAACTGCGGTTCTATACCAGTCAATTCAACAAACTGCTCTGATATAAATGAATGTGACGCTCCAGGGTCAAATAAAGCATACGCAGCATGATCGCACAGAGAAACCGTACCTGTGACTACCCCTGGCGCATTCTCAATCTCTCTTCTGGCCATGGCGTACACCCGTCCTTGGGCCTGTGGCCTATTCTGATTAGCTATCTGGGCAGCTCCAATTTGGTTCCCGTTTCGGGGTGGCGGCAACGCAGGCGATCTATTCTGCCCGAGGTTGGGGTAAAATCTTATATGATGACCAAATCCGCCACATCCGAAACATGCTCCGCCTCTGGTTGGGCAAGGTCCATTTCCATATCTTTATCCACACACCCGACATGGACCATTCTGAAAACGCATCGGTTTCCTGATATTCCTTCTAACAGGAGGGACGAAACGTCGATTACCCATCATTGGCCTCTTCCCTAATTGACGGTTGTCCCTACCCTGGGCAAATCTTGACCCAGAAGCGGCAGTCCTATCCGCCAAGTCCCGCTCAATCGCTTGAGCCCTATTATAAATCTCGTTATACTCTCTCAAATTCAATGAAATCATTTGGCTGCGAAAGTCCGGCTTCAAGCCGTCTCGAAACCTCCGAGCCCTATCCAACGGGTTCTCAACCATCTTTGGGGCAAACTTAGATAACCGAGCAAATTCAGCCTTATATTGACCTACTGTCCTCTGTCCCTGACGAAGCCTCATAAACTCAGATAATTTCTGTTCCCGGGCACTCTCAGAAAAATATTTACCATTAAAGGTTTCCACAAACATTGCCCAAGTCTGGGCGGTACCAGCCAGGAACACCCTTCCTCTAGTGGCTTTCCACCAATCATTTGCATTTCCTTGTAATTGATATACTGCTAATGTCACTTTCTCTTCATCAGTGCATCCTAATACCTCAAATGCTTTTTCCAACTTCTCTACTTAAAGCGATGCAAGCTCAAGATCGCCTCTACCATCAAACTTAGGGGGCTTTAATTTCAAAAACTGCTCCACTAATTGGTGCATCTGCCTATTCACATTCACCTGCCCCTGCCCTTGATTCCCATTATTATTATTGGCAGCAGCGGCCACAGCGGCCTCGGCAGCTTGGGCAATAGTGGTAGCTCTTTCCTGAGTCTACCGTCCTATCAAATTACCAATCTCTTCTAGGGTCCTCATGACCGCATCCATTCTCGGATCTTCTGTAGGTCGGGCTCGTGAGCTGGATGGACCCCCAATTCCTCTACCTCGTGAACTCATCCTCACGATTTCTACCACTCGCCTACCTGCTATAATTCTACTCAGAAATTAGAAACCTAGGCCAACTATACCAGTCTAGTCCTAGGTAGTGAATTAACGCAATAATTCACTCAGCAGGTAATCAATCACCACGGCACAAGGCCACAATCAATAAAGTTTGTGCACTTACCTCGGGTCCAGACGCACCTGCATTCCAATCATTATAACAATCAATTCACTCAGCAATCATCACAAACAATCTGGAGGCACGCGTAGCTCATTCCACCCTATAACTTACTAAAGTCTCCCTAGATTACTACCCCAGGGTTTCTGCTCCTTATCACTCCAGACTTCGACCAACTTAAATCGAGCTATCCTCGCTCTGATACCAAATCAAACCGTGATGTCACGCCCCGAACCCCATCGAGCACGCGACACACCTCTTTGGTCGAATATCGCGATGTCCCAGAAAATCGCCGACCCAATTCATCTTATCAAAGATCTAATTCAATCAGCGAAAGCCAAAAATACCCAGACAATAATTGGCTACGGTACAAGGGAGAATAGACATCCATGACTTATCCAACTTTATATAATATCCACCGTATACCACTCATATCATATACATGCACACCGAACTATCAAAACTACACACCACCGATATCAAAAAGATGAGTAGCCTGGGTACCCTATCTGCCAAAAATGGAACACCTCAAAAGACCTGCACTCAACCCCTACA